GCCAAGATATATGTTCCGCCTTAGGCGCTCCCATATCCCAGGCTTTGTCTCATATCGCATGAGCAAGAGAGCAAGATGAAGCATGGGATCTGGAGTAAAGGATAGAAGGGGCATCGTCAATAGAGAGGTCTTTTCCGATCTCAGATGCAAGTAGTGCGCCTCAATGAGGCACAATCACATGTTAGGCCGGGCCCGGCTTGAGCCAGGCACGGCAGCGGTGCATGCTCGATATACATCTCGCCTTTAACCCTCTCCGTTTAAAGTGCTCTCCCCGTTATCCTCGCACCGCACTTTGACATGCATTTACATGTCCGCCACAGTGCCTCTGGGCACTCAGGTCCTTGGCCTGATCCCTGGATCTTCAGTCCTCAGTCCGGATGAATCTTCAAGCCCGATTTCGAAATTTGGCGCCGCTTCCTGCGGTCCTGGGCTCCCCCGCAGCTTGTCGCATCACTTCTTTTTCGGCCCCAAGGGGGCGCCAACACGGGCCAGGAGGCCCCGAGAGGCCCACAAGACGGTCCAAGAAGGCCTGGAGTCGCCGAACGATCGCTCCAAGACGCTCGAGGTGGCCCCAAGACGGCCCAAGAGGCTGCCAAGAGCGGCCTCAGAGGCCCAAGCCATTGATTTTCTAAGGTTTTTGACGGTTTTGGGCTTTCTCGCCTCTTCGGCTTCCCGACGCTGCCAGATGGCCTACAGGCCCAAGACCGCCCCCAAACTGTCCAATAAGCTCCCGAACGGGCCCCAGAAAAAGACCTAAGACGGCCCCCAGACGGTCCAACAGGCGCCCAATGAGGTCCCAAGACGGCCCCAAAGGAGGCCCAAAAGAGGGAACACGTACCGAAACTCTGAGCCTTCCGCCATGCCCCCCCATGACGCCCCCAAAACGCCCACAAGAGGCCCCAAAACTGCTCCACAGAGGCGTCCAAGCTGCCTCCAAAAGGCCACGGAAAGGCCTCCCACGAGATCCAAACGAACATCCCATCGGCTTCATACCCACAGCCCAAGCAGGGTGGCGGGGTGGGCCACAGGCCATTGTATCCGCCGCCTCCTGTGGTTTTGCCACTCGGGTGCCTGGCAACCCTACCACTTTTGGTTTTGGTTCTTTTCTAAAAAACCCCTCTGGGGCTTCGACCCGTCCCGCTGGCCACCTGGAAAACTCTGGGCGGCGTGGCTCCAAAGGTTTCTCCTGCCCCAGAAAAGTCCAAATCGGCCAAAATGGACCCCCCAGACGGCCTCCAAATTCGCCCAAGATGGCCCCGAAGACGGCATAAGAGAGTCCAATCTGCCCCCAGTCCGCCGACGAAGCCACCAAGGCTGCCCAAACTGGCTCCAGGATGGCCCAAGACGCTCCGAGACGCCCCCAAGAGGCATCCAATACGGCGCGCGAAATCTCCCAGAGGTCCTCCTGGAAGGCCACACTATTTCCCACCGCGCAGCGAACTGCCAACGCGTTGCAGCTCTCGTGTGCACGGGCTCTTGACATTGTGGCCAGGCTACCACCACTTCCGCGTGGCCATAAAGAAACCCAAACAGCAGGAGGACAATGATCACAGGAAGAGAGGACAGGGAACAGAGAAAGGCCGGTGGGCCAATATAAAGGACAACAGGCAGCTTCGGATGTTCGGCCTGGTGCAGGTGTCACATGAGATGTTGGCCCACTCGAAGATGTTGGTCCACTTGAACGCCGCGGCCCGCGCCTTGCTGAAGTCCGCCGCCGTGGCCCCCTGGAAATACAGCTCGGTGCCGTAGCTTGCCAGGGCCCAGTCCCGCTCGGGCACGGTGTCCAGCTTGTACTGGTGACGCTTCGCCCACTTCAGGAAGTCGTTCATCAGCTTGTTGTACGTCTCCTCAATCGGCCGCGAAACTGAGCGAGGAAGGTCAGGCTCGACTGCGACTGGCCGTCCGTCGGCGGCCGCCTCGCTGCGGAATCGAGCTTGCTGCTGAGCCCTGGTCGCATCCGAGCCTGGAGAAGGCGCGCGCGATAGGGGGGCTCCAGGACGGACCCAAAAATGCGCTCGAGAGGGGCGCGGCGGCGGAGCAAATCTCCTGGGTGGCCCATCGACTGGATTAGACTCGCTGTAGGCCCATCGAACCCGTGGAGACACGCCCAAACATGGACACCAAGTTCCCCATTGACGACATAAAAGTTTCACCCCAGGAACTGAAGACCTTCCCCTGCTCGTCATCAGGGCGACGGACATCGCGTCAGCGAGGAACGAATCGCGCAACTGATGCTCGAGGCCCCGCAACAGGACTCGCGCCTCGATCAAAGGCATGTGCTCAGGCTGTACCCGCCGATCGGCCGAGATGGCGGTCCAGCGGCGGTCGAGCACCTCAGCGGGCACTTCGGGAAAACCGCTGGCGCCGCCTGCGCCGGCCTCTGGAGACCAGGTATCCTTGTGCTAATCCTTGAGGCGATGACCTGCCATCGCGGCATGGACTCGTGCGTGGGCTCCATCCTCAGAGCTCCGCGACCACCGCCGACGCTCGTTGTACTGGCCAGCAGTCCTGAGCATCTCCTCCTCAATCGTCGCAGCGGTGGCCCCTCCTCCTCATGGCGACGCATCATAGGCGGTGACCTTCGTGGGCCACTTGGCTGCCGAATCACGTCGGAGCAGAGGAAGCAGACCGCCCTCGCATCGAAGCTCGCGTCGAACCGCGGGCCGCAGCTCAGCGTCATTCTCCTTGTACTTGGCAGTGGTGCACTTAACTAAAGATGGCCAAGTACTCGCGCCGCAGCTGGGCACCAAAATCTCAAGTGGCCGACGAGGCTCTCCAGCTGTCTGCCCGAGCAACGTCCGCAGCGAAACGGCTCGTTGATCAGGGGGGGCGCGTCCGCCGGAGTCGTCTGGGGTTGACTGCTGCCGCCGCTGAAGTCGAATCGAACCTCCAACCGAGGGCATTCCCGCCCGCCTGACAGGAGTCACCGCGGGTGGACAGCCCCGCCTGCTTGAAGACCTGGTCAATCTCCTCAGCTGCCTTCCTCCTTGCTAGCTCGCGAAATTGTCGACGTGCTCCGTGTGCGCAAAGGGCTCAGCCGAGGGGCAGGGCACCCATCCTTGATGCGGTTACTGTCGTCCAGGCCTGGGCGCGTCTCCACCAAGTACTCGTGGATGCTATGGCGCAGCTCCGCCGCGTGGGGCCAGCCCATGGGAACGGCGCGATGGCAAGGCGCGACCACTTCATGAGGTTGGGCAGCTCCCTCGGCCGTCGCAGTCAATCCCAGATCGCCAGCTTGCGTCGAATTAAGCCCGAAGAAAGTTCGCAATGCTTTTGAAAGCTCCAAAGCGTAGAATGCATCAGTGATCACCTCCCCAAGATATATGGGCCCCCTGGTCTACCTCCAATGCAGAAAACAACTGACTGGTAGCAAGACTAAAATCAGCTCCATCGGCAAAATGGCAGTTCTTCCAACGAACATCCACAATTAAACGCTGCCTCCCATCCTCCTTGAAACTGAGAAGGGCCCGGCCCGTTCGCGACAGGATCGCCTGAATCCAAGCAGCCAGATCCATGCAGCTTCAGAATCAAATCTCGCTGAACTCGACGACTCCGAAGTCTGGGGCCGTTGAAAGGTCGCTTCGCTCCCGTCGCCGCCATCCGACGCTCAGCCTCCTCATTTGGCGGAGCTCGTTTGCGGCGAAGCCCTTCGCGAGCTCGGCGCCGGCAGCCCCGATGAGAAAAGGTGGAGACGCGGGTCGGCGTCCTTTCTTCGGCAAGGCGAGCTGGCTAACGTCGAAGGGGGCCATGGTGCTGGGCTCGCCATCGTAGCCGCGGCGGGCCCAGAACTCCCGAGGGGCCCCCGGGCCGCCCGAGCCAGCTTGCGGCTCGCCCGCCGACTCGGCGCAATGTAACATGTAGCTCAGACGCTGAAGCCGGCCTTGTGTGTGGGTGATGATGAAGACGAGCGAAAGGGAAACCCACTCGGCCCCGGCGTCATCTCATTCGAAGCAGTCACAATGTCATGAGGCCATTAGGTAATGAACTCGACGATGACAGCGCCTGACAACTTCGCCAAATTGCGGCTTAAGTCCTGGCAGCTCATTTCACCGTTGATCCCCGTCACGATAGGAAGTGGTAGTGGATCCCGCTGACGACCGTCGCGAGGTCGGAATTCAGGCATGCTGGGAGGCCCTGGGGCTTTCCAAGGTGGCCCCCCTCCCGACCATGACGAGGGGCCATCGCTCTCGCGAAGCTACTTGGAGGGCGCGGCCCGCTCCTCGCGGGGCTTGCGTGGGCACGGGCGCGTCCCGCTCCGCCACCTTCGCCGCGTCGTCAAGCAACTCGGGCGCTGCCGTGGCGGGCCCGAGCTCCGCGTGGGCGCCCGAGAAAATGGCGCTCTCGTCGTGCGTGCCAGCGCGCAGGAGCGCCAGGGCGGAATGGCCCTTGCCGCGGCCGCCGTCCTTCTTGCTCTTATCCCCCCCCGCGTCCCCATCGGTCGCGACGGCCGCTGAGCCGCCTGATCCTCCAGGCCCCCTCTCCGAATGGCAGTGCTCGATGAGCTGCGCGCGGCGCAGCAGCAACTCCACGATGCCGAGGTTGAGCGCGTCGAGGCTGTCGTAGCACAGGCCAGTCTCGAGCGCCTGGGGGATCAGCCCGTGCTCGGACACGCCCCGCCAGTCTGACTGAAGCCGATAGGCCGACATCCACCATCTGCGGTGATCCACCGCGCCTCCGCCACGCCCGTTGAGGATGCCCGCGCGCCGGGATGCCGCCCTCGGCCCAGGTGCTGGGAAGTCTCCGAGCGCGATCTCCTTCATGTTCTCCACGGCGTTCCTGAAGAGCCACCGGATGCGACTCGTCGCGGGCCTTCGCAAGGGCGGCAGGCGGGCGTCCGCAGCCGCCTCAGCGCCAGCGAACTCCATCTCCGAGCTCGCCGAGATCAGCGCCAGCAGCATTGGTTCTCCAGCGTGCTCCTGCAGCGCCCTGTCCTTCGCCGCGTGGGCCCCAGGGGCGAGAGCCGCGGCCGATCCTCGCGGCACCCCGTGGCGGCTCTCCACGGCCGCCCAGATCGTGCCCGCCATGTCCACCGCGGGCGCCGCGACCCCTGGCGGGCCAGCAAGGGCGCCCCCATCGTCAGCAGCTCGCTCCGTCGGTACGTCATCGACCGCGGTCCCTAGCGCGCGGGCCAGGGCGTCGGCGGCCGCCCCCCAGGCCGCGAGCTGCGCGGCAGTCGGAGCGGCTCTGAAGCGGTAGACCATGCCGCGTGGCACGCCTGAGGGTGGCGGCCGCCGAGTGGAGTACCACCTCGCCCCAACGATGTCGGGATTCATCAGGATGTGCGACTCCTCGTGCGTGTCCTCGTCGGGCGAAGTGGTGAAGTAATCGGCATCCGACGAACCCGCCGCTGCTGCGACGTGCAGTTGGTGCCGCAACGCATCTGCGGTCGCGAACCACGCGAGCGCCCGCCTCATCTCCTGCCTGGCGGCTAGAGGCGGCATCGCGAGCGAAGCTGCTCGCCCAGCGGCTGACGACCAGCGTGGCGATGGCGGTGCTGAGCGCTGCGGCGTACAGCTGAAACCACGAAGTCGCCGCCTCCTCCAGCGCGTCAGGATGCTGCTCTGGCAACGGCGGGCGCCCCTGGACAGGCGGGGATTGTGGGATCTGAAGGTACTCAGGGTGCGGAGGGCGCGGCGGCACCTCGGGGCAGCGCGAACTGCACAGGAGCAGGGCGGGCCCCGCCAGCAGCCGCCCCGCCGCCCGGGCGCCAGCAACCACGAGGGCGTCGACCATCCAACACCCGCGGGGCAAGCCAGAAATCGACCTAGCTCGAGCCCAACGATTGCTACGGACAGCTGTTGAAGAGCAGAACGCCTGGAAACGCAGTCACATTCGACGAGAACTTGTCACTACCTGTGATTACACGCTACCTCCTGACGAGAACTTGCAGCTACCTGTGATTATCAACACCGCTTTGGCACTACAACATCAGAGCGGCCTGAATCCCTGGCTTCGAGGATTTAGATTCATGTGCGAGCATGGATATATATATATATATAATATATATATATATATTATATATATATATATATATATATATATATGTATATACATATATACACGTGTGAGCATTTGTATATAGATGTGTGTATACACACGTATGTATGTAATGTATGTATGTATGTATGTATGTATGTATGTATGTATGTATGTATGTATGTATGTATATAGGTGTATATATATGTATACATATACTATATATATATATATATATATATATATATATATATATATACATACATACAAACTATTTATACATACATACATACATACATACATACATACAGACATGCACACATACATGTAGACACACACTTATATACATATACATATATATACACACACATATATATATATATATATATATATATATATATATATATATATATATATATATATATATATATATATATATATATATCACAGGTCCTGGAAACCACGCGCGCGCTACGCGCGCGCTGAGGTTCTAGCCGACTGCGCAGTCGCTCTCAATAAGCCTTGCGTTGATCCACGAAACCCCAAAGTACCCACTGAGTTGTTCCCCAGGCAAAAGCGAGGATCGACGTGCGACGCGTCGGAAAGCTCCGAATGTTCCCCAGACTGCGCAAGTGCCGTGATTGCCACAATGGCCGAGGAGGGCCCCAGAGGCTCTGGGCCGCCAAGCCGTCGCCGCCGCCGCCGCCCCCGCGGGCGCCGCCGCCGCCGCAACCGCCGCCGCCGCCGCCGTCGCGATGATCGTCGCGGTGGTCGTCGTGGTGGTGGTGGTGGTGGTCGTCGTCGTCTGTGGACGTGAACGGACGATTGCAAGTTCTGGGGCGCGTTTTGCTTTCTGGGGCCTCCGGACTCTGGAGATTTGTGGGGGGTCTCCAGGGCCTCCAGGAATCTCCTGCGGCTCTCCTGAAACTCCCACAGACCCCCAAGAGAGCTTTTGAGGTTAGTCTGGGAGGACCCAAAGGGGCGCCAAGGGAGCTCCAAGGGAAGCCCCAGAGCCCCAAAAATTGAACACATACTCAACACGCCGCCGTCCTTGACGAGGAAGCGGCTTGTGTTAAATTTATATTAAACTTGGGGCCCTCTTGAAACCGTCTCGGAGCTCTCTTGGGGCGTTTTGGGCGCCTCCAGGGCCATCTTGGGGTTCTCTTGGGCGGTCTTAGAGCCCTCTTGGGGCCCTCTTGGGCCGTCTCGAGGCGGTCTTGGAGGCCTGTTGACACGTCGTGGAGCGCCGGAAGCTCGAAACGTCAAGACCTTCGAGGACACAGAAAGACCTATGGATAATCATTGGCTTTTGCCTCTTGCGGCCATGTGGGGTGGGGAGCGGTCATGGAGACCTCTTGGGCCGTCTGGCGGCATCTCGGGGCATCTGGGGGCGTCTGCGGGCCGCGCGCCCACATACGCCCCCCAGTCGGGTGTTGCTCGAAGTGCCCCTGGCCGAAGGTGTCCACATGATTTCTGAGGGGGCCCCCCAGCCTCCAGAGCGAACCTGACGAGGCCCAAAGGGCCCCAGGGGCTCCAAAATTGAGCGAAAAGCCGGGGGCACCTTGGGCCAGGGGCCCCTTGAGCAATCCCTGGCCCAAACATGCTCGCGTCGCGGCAAAATCCCGGCGGGAAATGTGTGGCCGTTTTCGGCGCCTGGAAGCCCTCGCCATGCCCGCAGACCGTCAAAGAGCGGCCCGGGATTAAACGCTGGCCCTGGGGAAAGGGTCGGGCATTCCAGGGACCCCTTATAGTGAAAAAACTCAGGACGTAACATGTCTGGGCGTTGTCGCCCGGTTTCGGGGGTCGGGACCCTGGCAGATCGATCTGGCTCGAAAGATGGCGCAGAAAGATGGAGTCAATGGTTCCAGCTGCAATTTTTCGCGATGTTGTCGATGGGGTCGGAGGATGGCGCCGCATCGCCAATGCATCTCAGATGCATCGGCGACGCGTCGGCGACGGCGGCGATGCATCGGCACCGTCGGCGTGGAGGACGTCGGGATCCACGTCGAGCCGCATCGGCGATGCTTCGGCGGTGCGGCGCGATCCTCCGACCCCATCTATTGTTGTTCCGCCCAAGACCCAAACCTCGGACGACCGTGCGATCTGGGCGTCGCAACTGTTTCGCGCCGTGCGTTCTCGCCCGGCCTCGGGGCTCGGGGCCACGGCACATCGACCTGGCTGAAGAGGTGGTGCAGCAAGATGGGGTCTGAGACCCCAGTCGCGACTTCTCGTGAAGCTGCAGTTTTGTCGCAACGTCGGCTTTCAAATGTTGTGTGTGTGTGTGTGTTTTTTTGTTTGTTTTTTTCTTCGGTTTTTTATTATATATATATATATATATGCATATATGAATTATTATTATTATTATTATTATTATTCTTTCTTCTTATTATTATTATCTTTTATCTGTCCCGGGTAACGGCCGTTACACGGGGGGGGGTGGCGGAAAGGTAGAGGCAACGGCGGCGGCGTCAGCGCCACCGGCGCGGCAATCGCCCGTGCACTCCCAGCCGGCGCGGGGGGGTCGAAGCCACCGCCCCTCGGAGGCGGGGCCCCCGCACAAAACCTACCCCCCCGCCGCGGCTGACACGGACCATGACCAAGGCCGGCATCAACAAATACTGCGGGATGGCGATGGATTAAAAACATGGGAGAGAACGATTCAACACATAGTTTTCTGATATTTCTGCATAATTGTCTGACTGTAGGAGAAGTTTTTTTGTTGTTTTAATATATATATATATATATATATATATATATATATATATATATATAATATATACATATAAATATTGTATATATATATAATACATATAATTTTTTGTTTTTATATATATATATATATATATATATATATATGCAAAAGAAATATATTGTTTCCTTTTTTGTTTTGTTTTGTTGTTGTTGTTGTTGTTGTTGTTGAACATTATTAATTCTAAAAAATAATTATTGTTGGGACCCCTGGTGCACGGCCCCCCTGCGCCGCCTAGGCCGCAGCTACATTTTCATCATTTTCGTGAGGAAGCCTCAGGTAATTCGATGTGATCAAGATCCGGTTGTTTTGTTCCCCCCGCTTTCCCTTGCAAAAAACACTATAAAATGACATTTCTTGTTCTAATATAATCAAATTTCAAGAATCCCTTGCAAAAAATAAGGTAAAGTGGACATTCGCGCGCGCAAGACGAAATCCTTCCAAAAGCTTAGTGTTCGGAGCGATTTTAACATAAAAACATCAAAAAACCAATGGTTTTTCAACAAAAAAATGTCAAAATCTCATCCCGCGCGCTCTTGCGGATTCGTAGGAAACCCAACACTTTTTAAACATTTCTGTCAAACGGGCTTTTGCGAGCAACTTTTTCGAACTTCTGCGACAACGGTTGCGCACCTGCCAGGGCCATCATCCCTGTCAAATAATACCATGCGGGACACATTCGTTTTTTCTTCGCGCGCGCACGCCGTCGTCGTCGGCCGCGGGGCCCTGAATAGTAGCCACGGTCGTCCGCATGCCACGAAGTGAAGTGTCCGAACGTCATAGGGCGGGAAGCTGGGTGTGGGTGGTGGCGAAGAGTCGTTTGGAAATTTGGTAGAGCTTGAACCGGCCCCCCCACAAAGTGGGGGTATTGCCCGCCTCCTATGAAAACCCTGGCACTGGTGAGAACGGAGTGTCCCCAGTCTTAAATGATTGTTGTTGTTGTTGTTGTTGTTGTTGTTGTTGTTGTTGTTGTTGTTGTTGTTGTTTTTTTTTGAATATATTTATATATATAATAATAATACTAAAACTAATACGAATAATACTAGTAGTAATAATAATAATAACAATAATCATAATAATAATAATAATACTAATAATAAAAATAATGATAATAATAATAATAACAATACTAATAATAAAATAAAGCAAAACAAATACGATAACATAGGAAACCACATACTTTTCCAGCCCGCGGCCGGTTTTTTCTAATCGTCATCCCAGGCGCCGCCGCGTGAACACGACCCCCGGTGATTTATTAATCGTCATCCTCCATTACCGCGACATCTTGGCGGCCATGGTGTCCGTGTTTCTTGCCTCGTCATTGGGCCCCATTTGGGAGGTTCGGAGCTTGCGATTTGGGACCGAGGCGCTGCCCTCTGGAAGATTACTCTGGGGCCTCGCCAAGGGCCCGGGAACATGAGTGCCGCTTCCAGCGACAAGAGGAGGAGGAGGGGGAGGAGGAGGAGGAGGAGGAAGAGGAGGAGGAGGAGGAGGAGGAGGAGGAGGAGGGAGGAGGAGGAGGAGGAGGCGCAGGAAGAGTGGAGGCGGGCTGAGGCAGGACGGAAAATAACAACATCGAGGGGGTCATGGGGGGAAACAAGAGGCGGGGGACGAGCAGTGATAACGTCGTCCTAGTCAGCTGCTGCTCCTCCCTCCAATCTTCTCTTGCTTCTCCCTTTCTGTTCCTCCTGGCTTTCTGCTGTCGTCATTCCCTGACTCCTACCTTCGGCTTTCGTGGTGCATTGGTTTCGTCTCTCCTTCTCCTTCCCGAGCGTCCTTTCGGGCTCCTGCGCTCAGGCCCGTCTTGGGACCGTGGGGCGCGTCTAGACCCGCTCAGGGCCCCCTTGGGCAGTCTTTGGGCGCTCTCGGGGGCGGGCCGCCTCGGGACGGTCTTGGGCGCCCCTCGGGACGTCGTGGAGCGCTGGAGGCTGGAGAAGTCGAGAGGCCCGAAAGCATGGAACACCTTGAGCATCCATGGTTTTTGCCTCCTGGGGCCCTCTGGGGAGCG